AGAAAGAAAGAAAGAAAGAAAGAAAGAAAGAAAGAAAGAAAGAAAGAAAGAAAGAAAGAAAGAAAGAAAGAAAGAAGTCAGTTGGTCTTACCTGAACTGCATGTCTCGAAGGAGGTGTGGGAGTAGTCACAACTAGGTATTAACACAGCCCTTTTGCCCGGAGACTGAGGTAAATCTTGAGGCCACACCTCCGCTCCTCTTTCTGACTTTCCCAGATTAACCAATGGTCCGTTGCAGAGAAACTTGGGAAGGAAGGGACATAGAAACCCACACACACACATCCTTTCTGTCCAGTCCCTGACTGACCATAACTGAACTAGCTCAAGCCCCTAGCGCGGAGCACCCTAACAGGTGGGAAGTGACTACTCCCACGCCACCTTCGAGACATACAGTTCAGGTAAGACCAACTGACAGTCTCCAAAGTGAGGTGTGGGAGGAGTCACAACTGGGACATAGCTAGATGTCCTTGGGAGGGAATCACTGGGCCTGAGCCACCCAAGAGTCCAGGATTCCCTGAAGAACCCTTCTCCCGAAGGCTGCCTCCGCAGAGGCGTATGCATCCGGCCAGTAGTGCTTGATGAAGGGCAAGGGAGAGGACCAGGCGGCAGCTCTGCAGATCTCCTCGATGGGGGCCTGGGTGGCCCAGACCGCTGATGTGGCAGCACTTCTGGTGGAGTGTGCAGTGATAGCCTCTGGAACCTGGAGTCCTCATGCCTCATAGATGACCAATCTGATCCACCTGCTGATGGTGGCCAGAGAAACCTTAGCTCCCCAGGTGGAAGGCTGAAAGGAGACGAAAAGCGCCTCCGACCGCCTAAAGGGCGCCGTGCACTTCAGGTAGATGCACAGGGCTCTTCTGACATCCAGCAGATCCCAGGACCTTTCTCTTTCTCTGGAAAGCTTCGGACAGAAGTCCGGCAGAACTATCTCTAGTGCCCTGTGGAAGGGATAGTTGATTTTGTGCATGAAGGTGGGGTCCAGCCTGAGGATGACCCAGTTGTCTAGGAATGAGCAGAGATCCTCTCTGATTGAAAGACCGTTAAGCTCCAACACCCTCCTGGCTGAGGTGATTGCAACCAGGAATACCACCTCGAGTGTTAGGAATTGGAGGTTATTTGAGAGCCCTCAAGGGCTCGAAGGGGGCCTCCGTCAGAGACTGGAGCACCGTGAGGTGGTCCCAAGTCGGGAATCAGTGGCAGTGGACCACGGGGGGGTCTCAGATTCATCGCTCCCTTTAGGAATCACCTTAAAACCGGGTGCTGGGATAAGGGAGGCGAGTCCACATACCCCACCCCAGTACCGTGGAAAGGGCAGAGACCTGTCTTTTGAGGGTGCCAACCCCTTTTCCTGTAGGAAATCCAGAACCTGAGGCATGGATGACAAGGACAGGTTGATTCCCCCCCGATCGGCACCAATCCGCAAAGGCGGTCAGATGGAGCCACTCCGGGTCTGGATGCTTCAGAGACCCCTGGCGCAGAGCCACCTCCCCCTTCAATGGGGGGGGGATTTCGACATGTCCACCAGGTCTGCCAGCCAGGGGCGTCGTGGCCAGTAGAGGGCCATCAGAACTACCTCTGTTCTCTCTGTCACTAGCTTCCTCAGAATCCCGGGGATGAGGGGAAGAGGAGGGAAGGCGTAGAGAAGCCTGGCCGGTCAACCACAACATCTGTATCCACTGCTCCCCTGGCTGGGAACCTCGATATGAAGCTGGACAGCTGGGTGTTCAACGGGGTTGCGAAGAGATCCAATGTCAGGCGGCCGAACCTCCTGCAAATCTGCTGGAAGACGCTGGGATGGAGTTGCCATTCTACATTGTTGACTGTCTCCCTGCTGAGCCAGTCTGCCTGCTGGTTCTCTACCTTGGAGATGTGCTCCACTCTGATCGATCGCATGTTCCTTTCTGCCCAGTTGCCCAGCCGGAGGGCCTCATTGCGCAGAGCCTTGGGATGCATGCCCCCCTGCTTGTTCACGTGGGCCTTGGTTGCCATGTTGTCCGTCAGGACCAGAACGTGTTGGTCAGACACTGTTGCTTTGAAGTGTTGCAGAGCCAGATGGATGGCTCTGAGCTTCAGCCAGTTGATGTTGCTGCGCAGATCCATTGGGGTCCAGCGGCCCTGGGCTATTTGGGACTCCAGGTGCACTCCCCAGCCAAACAGGCTCACGTCCATTGTGAGCATCTTCCTTACTGGCTCCCTGAACAGGGACCCTCGGCCTAGAGCTGGAGGCAGCCACCAACGGAACGAGAGGAGCACCTGTGGTGTCACAAGAACCTTGAAGCTCACGTCGCTGGTGTGGGAGCAGGAACCACTGTAGCTCTCTGGCATGGAGACGGGCCCAGGGCACGATCCCTATGCATGAGATAAATTTAACGAGAAGCCTGGAAAGAAGAACTACAGGGACAGAATGAGACTTATGGATCTACTGAACCAGCTGAACAATGCTGTTCCTACGCTCCTGGGAGAGAAATCCCTCACCAGCCATAGAATCAATCTATGNGCTGGATTGCAGCTTGGCAGGCTGGATTGCTGCCAAGGCTTGTCTGTGCTGGATTGCTGCCAAGGCTTGTCTGTGCTGGTTTGCTGCCAAGGACCTGTCTGTCTGCTAATAAATTCCGTAAAGTATTTTTGGCTCGGCATGCTTTGGTGTGGGACGTGGGGGTCAGAACAGATCACTAAACAAGGACTAGCTGTATTGTTCCTGTATTGTTCTTCACTAATAGAAATATTGAAAACAATTTAAAATTAATAATTCATGAACAAATTAGCTCAGGAAGAAGCAACCCAAAAAGAGGGTGGAAAAATCTCTTCCTTGAAAGGAATCTGGACAGAAAAAAATTCAACAATGAATTGCAATGAAGAATCTCATAAGCTTCTATTTCCAAAAGATGAGAAATTAATCTTTCTGTTCATTTCATCTTTTTCATTCCATGTCTTTACAGCCTGCAGAAAGGGGTACAGATGCTGAAGAAGATAAGCAGTTCAAAAATATCTTCCGGCAAATTGCTGGGGACGTAAGTATATAGCCGTTTCTTAAAGCAGGCTAACATTGGCAGCTGGAAAATAAATACCTTATACAATACCTGTAGCTGAGCAAAACTAAACCCAAAATATTTCAAAGATTTTCAGTTCTGTAATCTGTAAGTAAGAATAGGCCAAGGTAAAAGGGCCCTCCCCAGATGTTCTATCTGCAAGCTGAAGAAGACAATTTGCTGGGGATGGGGATGGGCAAAATTGAAAAAAAAAGCAAATAGGATTTTGAGACCAATTTATCTGTGAAATGGAAACACTTGTAGGGCTGAAGGAAAATATATTCATAGGCTGTTGTAGCAAAAGGCTTCAGATTCCTGCAAGTGAGACAAAAGATTAGGGATTGTACATTGAGCTGGTGATGATCAAAATCAAGGTCTTAATCTGGTTTAATCTCATTGCCACCAGGGAATCTTGGTGAGCCTGCAGCCTTGGAATTGCTGATCCGCCTTTCTTTCTTAAAAAAAAGGTGCTAGTGGCAGATGAGATTCATCCTCCCCAGCACCCTCAATTTCTGGAAGTTGCCTGTGACAGGTGGCAGAACAGCTTTCAAGTATAATTTTAGGAGAACTCTGCCAGATGTTTATGAATACCCAGTTCAGAAAGAATTCTTCCAGTGGATAAGAATGAAGATGAGTTCATTATTCAGTTGGCGATGGAAGAAGCCAAGAATTTAAAGTCAAACATAATCTGTGCAAAAGACCAAAGGGGAAAAAAACAAATTAGGAAAATCTTACAGAACATTCTTAAAAGCAGTCCTGCTCTTGGTTGCATGCGTGGAAAGAAAGAAAGAAAGAAAGAAAGAGAGAGAGAGAGAGAGAAAGAAAGAAAGAAAGAAAGAAAGAAAGAAAGAAAGAAAGAAAGAAAGAAAGAANAGAAAGAAAGAAAGAAAGAAAGAAAGAAAGAAAGAAAGAAAGAAAGAAAGAAAGAAAGAAAGAAAGAAAGCTTGAAACTGCCCAGTCAGCAGCATTCTGAAGTGCCGCTTAGCAGCCTCTCTGTTATGGGGAATTTTTTTCCTAGAATCATTTGCTCATTCAGCCCATTTTCAAACTCCATTTTTCTTTTGTTGGCTTCTCTCCAGTTCTGGTTTTGGAAAATTATCCCTCTGACAGAACAACAAAGCCCAGAATCCCTCTACACCATTTCTTTCCAACATTCCACTCAAGCTGAAGAATGTATTGCTAACAATCTTAAAGTCAGTAACAAATAATATTTTAAAATGTTAGAGGCAGAAAATAAGTCAAGGAGTTGCTTGTATAACTGAATGATGTGAAGAAGAAATGATGTGGATTACCCCAACAATTTGACCCACCTAAGCATAACATGCTCATTCTTGCAATGTCTCATTTCCATGGCTATTTGAGTTACTTCTTTTTTAATGACTTACAGGATATGGAGATCAGCGCTGATGAACTAAGGAATGTCCTCAACAATGTTCTGAAAAAACGTAAGCAGTGCTTCTCTCTTTCCTTGTGTAACCTCTGAGGATATAAAGATGCAGGAATTGGGTTTTATGTACAAGTCTCATTTTACAATATGATTTGATGAGGTTATCATAGTGAAAAAATTCGAGAGAGATAGATCTGAACTTTTCACTTTACAGTACAAAATAATAATTTTGGCGTATGAGGCACAAAAATAGCCACATTCATTATGACACTATCTGCAAATCTATTGTATAGCTGTATTAGGTTTATCATTTCTGGTCTTAAATGGGGTTGCACTGCTCCAGATAATCCCAGTGCATAACCTGGGATTCGATTCTAAAGCAGCAAGTGGCAGCTGCGGCTAGAAGGGCTACAATTTTGCTAAATTATCTCGGTTACTCATGCCCTGATCCATCACCTATGGATTACTACAATGTGCTTGACATGGACCTACCTTTGAAAAGCATCTGAAAGGTGTAGCTGGTGAAGAATACTACAGAATACTACCTAAGAATGTGCATATATTACAATACTAATAAAGTGTTTTAATGCTCAGTGAATGTAATAAACTGGTTTACATTTTAAATGGCCATTACCAAGACAACAATTAGCTTTAATTTTATATAGTAATAGAGTATTTCATTGCACTTTAGATAAAAGTTTGAAAACAGAAGGTTTTGCCCTGGAATCCTGCCGCAGCATGATTGCGCTAATGGATGTATCCTTTTTAATTAATATAAAATTAGAAGACAAAATGATAATTCCTAGGTCTAAGAAGCTGTTATTCCACTCTTCTTAAGATTTGTTTCCTATTATAAAGTTTAGTAATTATTATACTTTTTTTGCAAAATCACAACCGTTGACCCAGAATATAGTTATATCATTGCAAAGTGGGAAAACATGATGGGATATGCAGTCGTAAAATAAATAATTGTCAGCTTACTATTATTTTTTTAAATCACTGCATAATTGTTTTAGTAATTTTAGTAATTGTTTTAGTAATTTTTTCATTCTTACATAAACATTCTGTAAGATAGAGCAAAACTTCTATTTCATGGGTAAATGATCTACAAGAAGCCGCCCTTGGCTAAATTTGTCTCCACAAAAACATGAATGACCCTATGAAATTGTTAATAAATGGTTAAATGTTAATGCAGTAGAAGGATGGAATCATGAAATATATGAGAACTAAAAATAGTGTGAATCATTTAATTTGATTTTTATTTAATGTAGATGCTAATTTCTTATCCCCTTTCCCAGTTGTTAGAACATGGGTTCTTGCATGCCATTTCATTGTGACTCTCAGCCCCCCCAGATTTGGCCTACTCTTCATCTAAAGATTCTCTTCTCTAATCTCACTACCTAAGCAATTAAGAAGTTTTATCTCAGATGTTCTATTTCTAATATCTCACTATCCAAGCAATTAATGTTTTATCTCAGATGTTCTATTTCTGATTTTTTTAAAAAATAATAATCTCAATTTCAAAATCTTTGAAAAGTTTGAACTGAACTGCTATCACAGACAGATGGTTCCGGGAAAATAAATCTTGATGAATTTCGCCACCTTTGGACTAAAATTAAAAGCTGGCAGGTATACTTGTCTTGTGAATTAATTGTGGTCTAGACAGAACATGACAACAGAAATAAGGATACAAGACAGAACTGCTGGTCATTCACCAGGAGATCACCCTCTTTAACACTCTGTTCACATATTATTTTAAAGCATGTGAAAGAAATTATATGATGCTTTCCTTCCAAGCTCCAAGATAAATTCTATTATGTATTGCAGCTTTATTAACCAGTTCTTATAATTGGAATGATTAGAGGGCGCTACAAATATTGTAAATATACAGCTAAGTATAGGAAATGGTGTTGAGTGTTGGGGGGGAGGGAACCTGGGAAATAATTTAGTCCACATCTGTGATTCAGCCTCTCTTCGTAATTTTCACTTCATCATTTCAAAGCCAACTTTGGAATAGGCTTATTTAGTTTAGCTGCATTTCTGGGACAGTGCTTTTTTTAAGGTGGAAAAATAGTTTATGCATCAAACTCTTGAGGTTTATTTCACTTTTGGCTTTTCCAGAAAATTTTCAAGTGTTATGATACCGACCATTCAGGAACCATTAACAGCTATGAGATGCGTAATGCAGTTAAAGATGCAGGTTTGTATGGTGCTTTTGGGTTCTTGGACAGAATTTGAGGGGGGGGGGGTCTTCTCTTCTTTTATCTATCTGGATTTTTGTGTCAGTAACAAGTAGTTTTTCACAAAGACAAGAAAGTCACTTGTCTCCACCAGGACCTTCTCATCTCTTTCTCTCCTCAGGGTTTCAATTGAATAACCAATTATATGACATCATTACAATGCGTTACGGTAACAGAAATATGAATATAGAATTTGACAGTTTTATCTGTTGTTTTGTGCGACTGGAAGGAATGTTCCGTGAGTATATTTCTTTAAAATGCCTCTATCTTGCTATTCCATGCCAAGATCCTAGAGGGTTGTTTGTTTTTTTTTTGGTAAGAAAATGGCGTACATAACCAGGGAAGTCTACAATGCTTTTTATCATAAAATAGTTTTGGCAGCCTAATATTGCTAGTTCATTTTGTTCATGTATGCATGCTATCCATGGTACATCATAGAGAGCAAACTAGCTTTGCATCACCTGGCTAGCAGCTAGCAACATCCCGGTGAAGCTGTTTCATAAATAGAATCTGATGGTGGGACATAGAGTCTTCCAACTGGATTTCAGCCACTCTTCTCTTCAACCTTTCTTTCTTTGAACTTTAGACCTTGCAGCTAGAGCTTCCTTGTCATACGTTGTATAGGAACTAGGAGTCAGCAATGCATTTATTTTGGAAGAAGAATCCTAAAGCAAAGATTTTCTAATCTATTTAGCTACTTTAGCTCTTGCATCTTGAATATTACCTGGCAGTATTTGCAGAAACAAATATCATTTCATTAGACTGTTTGTTTAGATAATTCCTATAGGGATCTACTTTACAAGCAAGCGACTCTAAACTGAGTCCATGTTATCCACAGGAGAAATCTACTTGTCTAAACTGATTTCTCTCTCAAATCTCAAGGTCTCCAAAGCATCTAATACAAATACTTACAGCTGATCGTTGATGGTTATGCAATTCTGTTATATACGTGAAACTATCTGACTGATTGGTACACAATAGCTAGGAATTTCCTATTAATATTTAAATGATAGTTAACAATATTGGGAACAAATAATATGTTCTAATATGTTGTATTTACTGTTCCAATTTCTTGGTTTCCTATAGAATGATCTTCCTTATGTTTCTCTCATGTTAGGTGCATTCCAGGCCTTTGATAAAGATGGAGATGGCATTATTAAACTGAACGTCTTAGAGGTAACTATTGATGTATTTACTTAAACTGATAATCATGCCATTTTGAGTAGTTTACAAAAAAGAATGTCCATAGTACAATAATTAAAAATTCATAACAAATATTTAAATTTTCTTAAAACCAGAAAATAAACAACTCTCTGAAGGGTGGGGGGGTATCTTACCTTTCTTCCCAAAGGCCAAGGCAGCGCAAGTCTAATATCTGCTGGTAAACTACTCCACAATAGAGACCATATCAGAGAAGCATTTTCTCCCCCTTCTCTTAAACTATATGAACCCCAAGGGGTAAGGAACAGTTTTTCCAAGTTGTTCACATATAGTGGGTCAATTATTGAAGGAGGTAGATTTTCTGGTTCATGTATGATAAACCATGTAAGACTTCACGTCAAAATCAGTATTTAAATTGCCCTCTATTGGCAGCTGATGCAGAGCACACAACACAGATGAAAAGCATTCATGGTATCTAGCGATAGCTAGCACACACGTTACTGCATTCTTATTCATTGTGGGTTCCGAGTTGCCTTTAAAAACAGCCCTATCTAGAGCACAATGTGGTAGTCCAACTGGGTTTGAATGAGAATATGAGTTACTATTGCTCGGTCCTTGGGTAGGGTCACAAGTGATACATCAGCCATAGCTAGGCAAAGGTGCAGGAGAACTTGACGACTTGCTCTCTTAGAGGGAGTACCATTCCTTCAAAGGAAAATACTAAACCATGATGCACAAACAGCAGTTCCAGGTTCCTTGAGTTCAAATGTTTCTTCTCAGCCATACCCTATTGTTCTTTTGGTGTGCTTTTTCAAGTTAAATTTGGACTGCTTCTTTTGTTATGAAGTGTCATACTCAGAAAATAGTACATTCGATGTCTTTAGAATATGGGTATTCTAAGGAAACCACAAGTACTTCCTTTCCTCAAGTTTATTCATATTATTGATTTGGGCAATAAGTAATCAAGGGCTTGTAGATCATCTAGGATAAAATATGCTTAGCTTATCTAATATAGGGACTCTTATTTCCTTGCATCTACAGTTTGAGAAGGTTTATGAAATCTTCCACAATGTTTATTTACAATACAAAGATTTACTCTTATTGGTAGTTTTCCTAATAAAAACAATTCATTAGGAAAAAAATCTGATTGGCCAATGGATTTTCCCATTCCTTTTGACTCCTTGCACTTTCCCAAAACTTTAAAAGGAAGTAGAAATTATAAGGAAGTAGAAATCACTCAGAGCTGCATAGATTCTTCCAAATGTCCTTGACTGTTATTTGGGAACTTTCATCATAGCAGAAATGAAATTTCTTAATAAAGGAACCCATTTTAAAAGTCGTCATTTTATATTGCTGCTGTAAAGTGCATAAAAGGCAAAATAGTTTAAGCATGGTGCTCATGCAGTTTTGAGTACAAGTTCAAGAATATCTATTTTAAAAAGCAGATGTATTAGGTTTATTCTATAGTGAAGGTCTATTATCTATTATTAGCTCAAATGCTTTAGATGAATTAAAAAGATAAATGGAAAATCGGTCGATAAAACAGGATTTAATATTGAAGTTTAAGTATTCCAAAACTATCTATATCTACCTGTAAGCTAGTTTTTGAGTTCTGAGCTTAGCAAGACCTATTTAGCGTATCTAGTGTTGGGCTATATATGTGTCTGAAATCATTTCAAAGATAGTGACAACTTAATTTAGCTTTAATAGTATGTATTATAATTTATTTTCAAGGTAGCAAAAAATAAATGTATTGTGATTTCTATGTTCATACTTCATAGCTAATTGAGCTATGAATTAGAAAGGACATACAGCCTTGAAATGCAGTGTCATTGTAAGGTTTAATACACCTGGAAACCCTTTTTGGATATAAGTATCTCTGAGTATGGGAATAGGTGTCAACAAACAATTTTATAGTCTCATGCTGAAAATGTTCAGTTTGTATTTTAAGTCAATTTCTTTACTGGGTTAAAGGGATTTGCACAAATCATATACTGTAGTTTTGTTTTGCATATTAAAAAAAAAAAATCCTATTATCTTACAATACCCGTTTTCTACTTCCAGTGGCTACAGCTCACCATGTATGCCTGATTATCACTTATTTTGCACCTTCTCTTGGATTATTGACTTAATCAGCCGTCATTCAGTTTCAAGACACTGATCTCTTGCACATCTTCCTCTTAAAAATTACATGGAAAGGAAGTATAAATGGAAGTATAAATTCTGCAGATTTATGTTCAAGGAAACAGCTTACGGAGAAGTAACAAAAGCAGTGAAGCATCTTGTGCACAAGAAGGGTATCTGCTCTCCTGATGGAATCAACTCTAGATGCATGAGTTTCGTTGCAAATCAAAATTGTTGTCTTACTTTGAAACAGCACCTCTTCTTACCATCTGGGACATTTAGGGTGCAGCAGAACAATTTATTCATATTAAACACTACAACTTGCCAAAATGTGGTTCATCTAAGTAATTCAACTTATTTGAAAATAACATGACTCAAAACATTTATCTAAATTATTTTTATATAATTTTGTTATATGTTACATCAGTTATTATTCCTGTAGCCAAGCTTCCTACAATTAGGCCCGGCAACAGAATATATCAATGTACATAGATGAAGTATTAAACAGGATGTATTAAATGACAAGATAGATGGTTAAATATTGTGGCTGAACTAGGTGGTCCTCAACCGTTCATTTATAGCGACCAATTGACATTACAACAGCACTGCAAAAAAAGTGACTTTCAACCAGGCCAAGCACTTAAAGACTGTTGCACCACCACCCAAAATCATGTTTTCCCAATTTGGGTGTTTGGCAATGGCATGTATTTACAATGATTGCCATGTGCTTAAGTCATGTGATCACTGTTTGCAGCCTTCCCAACCAGCTTCTAAGAAGCTAAGTCATAGGAAGCTGGGTTCGCTTAACGACCATGTGAATCACTTAGCTACAGTGACTAGCTCAACAACGATGGTCATAAAATCAGGTGTGACTCACTTAGCACCATCTCACTTAGCAATAGAAATTATAGTCCCAATTATGGTTGTTAAGTCGAGGGGCTACCTGCAATTAATTTTGTTCCTAGGCTGCAGGAAAAACATTTTAGCTAAATTATAAGTTTGTTCTGGCTGCAACAAACTGACAGATTCAGGAAGTCTGGGTTCTCTTACAGTAGAACTTTTATAGAAATCTGTATTGATATATAAGCAAGACTTCTTTTATAAGAGGTTTTGCACATAGGATTAACTGTGATCTAGTGCTACGACTACATTTGTTTGGAAACTGTATTCCTTATCCCATTTTTAAAAATGCCATGCAAGCAATGGTTCCATTGCTAGGAATAATATGGCAAAAATTGCATAATAAATAAATGAGAGCTCTTTCACTGGATCTGCTGTGTTAAAATTATGAAAGAATATTAAAAAAAAACCTGTGAAAATATGCTAGTTGTAGATGTCCACTTTTTTAACAGATGCTTGTACGGATTTGTAAGAACGATCACTATCCAATATTTTTGCTTATGTTTAGAATTGTGGTTTTGGGAAGTTGACCTTTGAGGTATGTGGAGTAGCTAGGTAAAAACAATGAAGCAGGCTTCATATTAAAGATTTTGTTTTGCTATACTTTAATTTAGAAGCCAGAACTTGACCCTCAGCAATTTTAAGACTTCAATTCCCAGAATTCCTCAAAAGTAAATGACATATTTAAATTATTGTGAAGAAAATGAATAGACCACACCACATCCCACTTGGGATAAAGTAAATTTATTTTGTTTTCTTTTGGTTGTTATCTAATTCACAGCTTTGTAGCAAAAAAGGAAAGACTAAATCATTCACTGAAACAAACGGAGAAAAGATGTTAGTTAAACAGTTATAGCATAGTAGGTATGCTATTTTATCACCTGGTATTTCTGCAATTACAGGAATCTGTTCATGCCTTAAATGATGTGTTATTTTAGACCTTCTAGCTGCACAATACTATATGGAGCACCTGCTTATATGTTCTGTGGAAACCATTCCTCACAACTATAGATTATCTAGGAAATTCAGTGTTTAGAGCAAGTTAGCTGCTGGCTGCCTGAATACTAATTCTTAATGTATCTGTCTTTGAAGATATTTGCGCTATGAAATACATATCCCCAACTTGCATTTAAAAAGAAGATAAAATGTCATATGATATATTTTATATCTAGTGTGATAAGGATGCAGCCCTGACTTTTTAAGGTGGGTGCTTTGCCACTTTATTAAGATGTTATAGCTTTTATGTTTCAATCCACCGTAGCCCAGGTAGTGTCTCAAAGGGCAAATAGAAGCTGGGATACTTGCAAGTGTTCTATTATTTAGTGGGACAAAAATGCAACCAGCCAAATACCTGAATTCTATGGCAGCTGATACACACAAGAGTCCTCCACAGCAGAACCATGAATGTAAAGAAACACATTCAACACACACACACACACACACACACACACACACACAAAACTTAATGGCATTTTAAAAAGTGCACACCTCTTATACTGAGGAAATATGTTGGCATGCAGTCCAAATACATTGCATATGCAACCTGCAACAACTTACTCAGACATCAGCCCAGCACGCAAAATTAAACACTTCCCACACATTTCAATAATGCACTCTGCGATTCACTCTGGCAACTTCATTTCTATCTCCTTTCTTTCAAAATAAATCTCTTCTAAAGATAAAGTTAATATATTTCTGGAAATAAGACAAACACCTGCAACCTTCCAGAACGTGACAATCTTCAAAGTACGCAATCTTGATGCATCCGCCTTACCATTCTATCAATAATCAGCAAACTCCATTTTGCCCTCTTTGCATCAAGATTTCTATAGAGCAACCTAAAGGAGCATGCCTACATTTCCAACTAAAGAGGTATAAGTACACAAAACAACCTCAAACCAAACAAATAACCTGAATCGCAAGAGAAGATTTCACATTCCACATGAAAGAACTGTGGAGCTTCAGCACAACACACTGAAGGAGGAGGAGTTTAACTTTCTAAGTTATGTGCATGAAGCCTCATTTGCAACTATTCTTCTCATTAAGAAAAACATATATTATAGAACAAACTAATAATAAAACTTGGCCACGCTTTTATTGCTGAACAAGTTTTAATACAAATTATGAAAGCATCCCAAAAACACACTCATCTTAAATGTGCATGCGCGCACACCCAAACATACACACAGTACTAAACAGTAAAAAACACAAGTCATCCAACTTATAAATCACTTGCAATTACTAATGTGCAGACATTTAAATTATTGCATATCAAGGCACCATCCTCTTCCAGTTAAAATACTGAAAAAGAAACTTGAAGAGGATGCAAAATTAATATTCACCCATTCACATAACTAATAACACACTCCATATATTTTTCTTCACAAAAATACTTCTTGCCTCTGTAATTTAACTTCAAACACATTCAGTTAAGAATGAGCTATATTTTAAAATGTCATTCGATATTTGGCTGTCTACAAAATGAAAGTTTTTGCAGCCTTTCAAATAAGCATTTGACGGTTTCCTTCAGTCTGTCTGATTTCAGCTGCCAACAATGTCATGAAAAGAGGAGGCACTATTGCACAGAAATCACACGCAGGCTACAGAAGATGTTCTAACAATAGAAGATAACCAGTGAATTGTTCATTATTTCTGAACATGGAAAAGGTCAAAAGAGGGGACCAGAATCAAAACATCTTCAAGCTATCGGAATTATCAAGAAATCATGTAGAGCAACTTCCAACTGGTTTGTTTTTCCAGCTGTTGAAGTCACTAAGTTATACATTAATTACCTTTTATTTTTAAAGGTTGATTGCAATGCCATTTGTTCTTCTAATATGTGTATATTGTCTGGTGTAATTAAGCTCACAGTCAGATACTGCTAGACTAATAATGAGGTTTTTAGCTTTTCTGTGGAAGAAAAACCAGAACTGATGTCACAAACACTAGATGAAATCTAAATAGGGAACCATTTTCTGAATACCGCAAATTGCAGCACAAAAACTTTCCCAGACAGCACTGACCATATACACATTTCTTTCACAAACACATATGCTATTTTTCTGTCAATTCTTGCATTTGTCACGCTGCTTAGTTTTGCTCCCTTAAATGACAGCACAAAATATATGCAAAATTCTCAGCTTCTGCTTAGGTTTTAAATCTTTCCAGTATGTGCCCAACAGCTTTTTAACTTGCAATTATAGGAATTGAAATTTAGTCAGTTGCTGTGAAACAAGATGGTTATCAAAAACACAGGATTCTCACAGGCTTAGCTGGATGAAGCAAGTTAACATTCACTTACTTCAAATGCCATAATGGTCATAACGTAAAATTCTCAGAATCAAAAACACAGTCCCAATATTGTGGCAAGAGAGCACTGGGTATAAACCTATCCAAAAATGTTTAATATAAGTTATATTTACTGGTGTTTGTATTATAGTGCCTGGAACTCTTAAGATAACTGGGAAATAACAGTATGTTTAAGAAACAAGTATTTTGCTGTCTTAACAATATGTTCTCTGCCACGCTAAGATTCTTTGGCGCCAAAGCATACCCATAAAATCAAATACAATTGTGATTAATTGATTTCACATTTTAAACTGAAGCCACAATATAAAGTAATTCAAACAGTGAGCCAATTGTTCATTCCCACAACAAAATATCTCAAAGATTTCAGTAAGGAAAAAAAATAAGGAATTCAACGATCAGATGGTATTTCTAACCTGAATTCAATAATGTTTAGATTAACATTAAAATAATCCAAACTCAGAAACATACATTAACAGGGGATCCTACATATAACATGAAAACTGGTGGTTAAAACACTTACATGTAGGGCCCCAAATTAAGTATAAAATGTTACTCTGAATACCAAGTAATAGATAAGCCCACTGCATTTATTTGCACAATGTAAATATGAGGGAAGGTAGATTCCCCCCCCCCCTCCACAAGTGAATGGTATGAACAGTTATTTGGTATGACTCTGTCATTCCTTTCTCTACAGAGCTGTGAATAGATCCTGTCTCTGTAGACAAAACAGAAAAAAGGTGTGTGTTCTTTTTTCCACTCCAATAATGAACAGGAGGAAAAAGAAAAGAAGGAGGTGGACAAGGCATGTAAAATTACTTGTGTATAAAAAAATACTTCCCAATATGGGAGGCTGAAAAATGTCATGAGTCAATCTTGCTATCGTCCTCTGCGTGCTTCTCAATATGTCCCACCGCATCCTAGAGGCAGAAAGGAAACAGGATTGATTTCAATTGGCTCAGATTTTGATACTTCAACAACCGCACATCAATGATACATTCCAGGCCAGGGTACATCCAAGATTTAGGACAGCACTAGTCAGACTTCAAATGTTCTTATTAAATTTTTAAGTTTTTAAGTTTTAACCAGCAAGTTAGAAACATCCCCATACTCTTACTGACCAGCTTTAGCTTTAATTTGATTGGTCTTTGTGAAATGTTGTATGACATGTTCAGTAGTTATTAGGTGAACTGTTTGGTACAGCAATGTATGTATATCACCACTGTGTAAGTAATATTTATGATAGAAAAACATCTTATAAGGCAATCCGATGAAAGGCTGAGAAGAATAAGTGATGATAGAATTAATGCTGGTGGGCAAGGAAAGAACAGAACAAATAGGGGAAAAAGGAGGAATCTGAAGGGAAAATAAATATGTCAACAGCTAGTACATTTTTTAATACTTTTATAGTTGCAGACAATAGAATTGTAGATCAAGGCCCTTAAACTGGTTTCTTTTCCAGTTACTACTATCAAAGAACCAATAGCAGAGTAATAAGGGCCCCAGACATTTTCTATCACTATGTCAGGAATAGAATTTCTTCTCATCTTATGACACAGTGGCAGCAGGACTGCCAATTGTGCACCTCTTTTTTTCCCTTAAAAGATGTATTAAAGTTTTTGTAGATTGCTCTCTTCCCAAGCTACAAGAACTACATTCCAAATAATTCCTTCATCTTTCACCTTTTATCCAATTTCTTTGCTACATACCTGTTTGGAACTTTTCTTGGAGGTGAAGAATGCATCACAATTTTTCCAACGACACTTCAGAGTTTGAAAATTCGGATTTGTGTGGTCATTTAACAAATGCTGTTTTAAGTGGTCCACAACTCCAAATATAAGTGAACATCCATGCCACTGATAAGCAAAATAAACAAAACAGGGAATGGCTGAAAGCTAGTGGAGACATTAACAATGTAACCATTTTTCTGTAGTTCATACATGTAAGAAAGAGAAAAATAAGAAAATACTAAACTAGAGGTATCTTAATTAGCTTGATTTAGTAAAAACTAGTTCTGTAAAACCATAAAACAGTACATTCATTCATTCATTTTTGTCCACAGCCTCCCTTCAGAAATTTTTCTCAGCATCAACTCTGAAATAACTTGGATTGAGAGGAAAAGTGGCTGACCCCAAATCATCCAAGGAGCTCCCAAGGTCTCCTGGGTCTTACAACACCTTAACCACCCTACTGCACAACTCTGTATAACACAACGATTTTCAATCCTCCATTGACAATGCAAGTATGAATAGGACTGAAGTAACCAAAACTGTAAAGACACTTCAGTCGACCTCTAGGAAAAAGAATGGAGTCAAATGATAAACTTGAAATTTTAGGGTTGTTTGAAAGATATATTGACATTTATAGTTTTGAGTTTTCTCAACAGAAACCTGGCAGCAATTGTGCCAAGTTTGTTTCATCCCTCTAGGACACTACAGCCAAGGTCTTTGCACCTTTCATCCAAACAGAAAAACCACTTCACACAATTATCAGAGATGGACACTTTCTGCTCCAGAATACAGCATTATATGAAGGAACTATGATGTTCCCTCATGCTGAACATGGGAGAACTGAGTGACCAATTTCTTGTCTTCTCAAAGTACCCATGTTAACATAAAGATTGCTTGATGGGAACGGAGACCACACCACACCTGGTTTGTCTCCCTTGAGAATAAGTATCAGAAGCTCTACATTTGTCCAGAGGATTCTACCAGGAAGAGTGTTGTCATTACAGTGACTTCATGACATATATATTGTCTGAAAACTATACCAGTGAAGAGAGTCCTGTTTTCAAAAGCTTCCCAATGGAGGACATCTAGGGATGGGCAGGTGGCCCTCGGCATCTTTCTGAGCCTACCCCCCAAAAAATACTTAGAATGGCTGGAGTCAATATTTTCAGTCATTCTTAAACAAAGACTAAACTTAAGGGTTTAAAAACTATTTGAGATTGTTCTGGAATCTGGAGTGAACTAATTGCTTTCCATAATAGGTAAATAATTTGATTCAAACTTGGCTTAGAGTTGATTTATAATATCTGATACCTTATGCCTAGCCTGCCTTTTAAATGTACAAATCAATCAACCAAATTTGTTATAGTTGCCCAACTCCAATTTTAACGGTTTCAACTATTTGGTTTTGGTGACATTTTTATCCTATTTATGTTATATTTTTTTGTGGATTCAACAGATTTCAAATATTATGAACATCTACATGAACTTCAGAGTCTAAAGAGCAAAAGTATTTTTTCTTTACCCAACAACGATAGTTCTGCATCAGGTTCAGCCGCACTGCTTGGATACTACCATCATAGCAACCTGTGTAGATCTGAAAAGAGGGGAAAAAAGAATTATAGAATTAAAAGAATAAAAAGACACAAATATACTGAATGGAGTAGCCACTTGTACTATATTTAAAACTCTACTATGATTAGAATATTTATTTTCTGTACAGTAGCTTATATATTTTAGTGATAAAAAACAAAATGTTGAAATTAATTCTATAAACTCCTTTATCACTCAGTTGGATTAAGGGAAACAATTCAATTAGTGCATTGTATATTGAATATATGAAGTTTTTTAAAAAAACTTTTTTTAAAAAAAAATCTTGAGATATCAATAACAGCAAAACAGCTAGTCTATGTATGAACACAAAACCTAAGGATAAACTGTAAAACTATTTTGCAAAAGAAATCAGTAGTAATGTTTAGCAAATATACATTAATATGCAACCAAAGAATGCAGGATCATTAATTGAATAAAGTCCCTCAGTTACACTATGGAGTTATTAAATTAAGTGCTGTAACTAAACGTGTTTGAGTGGTGATAGTCTGTTCCTGGGAAATCATTTTTTGCATGCAGTCAATAGGATAACAAACTATAAT